TCATCAAAAACTACATCTCTTGATGTATAGTATTTTCCACTTGTTGGATCACAGCACCTCCATCCTTTTCTTTGATTGTCGTATCCAACAAATACACACTTGACTGCTTTCTTGTCAAACTTGCTACGTAGATGGTCAGGCACAAATACATAGCAAACACAGCCAAATACTCGGAAGTAACTAATTGTAGGTTTCATATCCCATAGTATCTCAAATGGTGAGACGAACCCTAGCTTTGGTTGAGGAAGCTTGTTGATCACATGGGCAGCAGTTCGCATAGCTTCAGCCCAAAATCTTCCTGGAACGTTCTTTGCGTGTAACATGCTTCGACAGGTTTCTGCAAGGTGTCGATTCTTTCTTTCTGCTACACCATTTTGTTGTGGCGTGTTGGCACATGTAAATTGACGTCGTATCCCACACTCGTGTAAATATTGATCGAACTCATCTGACGTGTATTCTCCGCCATTGTCTGAACGTAGACAACGAATCTTCGCTCCTACTTCTCCTTCGACCATCATCTTGAATTCTTGAAACTTTGAGAACGTGTCAGACTTTTCTTTCATAAAGAAAATCCACACATATCTTGAGTAGTCGTCAATAAATGTCACCATATACCGCATTCCGCTGATCGATGCTTGTTTGACTGGGCCGAACAAATCAGAGTGAACTAACTCTAATGGTTTCTTTGCTTTGAAACTTGACTCTTTGTATGGTAATTGATGAGCTTTACCATACTGACATCCAGCGCAGACAACGTCTGTTTTGACTTCCAGTTGTGGTAGACCTTTGAGCATAGATTTCTCCATAATCAGCTTCAACTTATGGTAGCTAATATGTCCCAATCTTGCATGCCATAGATCTGTCGTCTCATTCTTTCGGGTCTTGTCAACATAGGCAGACTCTGCAGATAGAACGTAGACAGACTCCACTCTTCGTCCTTCTATCGTCGGCTTTCCTATTATCTTAACATCTTGATAAACTTTTACATCTTCTGGCCCAAACAAGACATAGCTTCCTGATGTTGTTAGTTGTGACACTGACAACAAGTTCTTCTTTATACCCGGTACATGATAAACATTATGTAGCGACACTGTATCAGACTTATTGCCAGGCATGATTGTCGTATTGCCGATTTGAGCAATTGATAACTGTGTGTTATTTGCTGTACGTACCATACGACTTCCTTTGTACTCTTTCTTGTCTTGCAATTTTCTCTGATCGCCAGTCATGTGATTTGAACATCCTGAATCAACGATCCAGTCATTCTCATAGTTGATATGGTCTTCCATTGTCGCCATGAGTGCTAGCTCGTCTTCTTCTATGGGACATAGTACCTCTGCATCCCATTCATCTTCTATCTTCTTTTTGGATATTGCCACATTGTTTTCAATGGTCTTTTTCCTGGACCAACAATCTCTAGACATATGGCCCTTTTTCCCGCAGTTATAGCAAATACCACCAAATCTCGTTCTTTGAAAACTCTTGTTGTCGTTCTTCTGAGCTCTCTCAGGTTGTGCAATCCCTTGGTGGCTTCTTCTTTTGTCACCATTGTATCCACGTCTGGTAGACGGCCTATTATTGCTCTGACTTTCACTCGTGTAGAGTGCTTCTTCACCCTTCAACGTGAAGCCTCCCATTTGTTTAGCCATGGCTTCTTGGCTGGCTAACAAATTTTCGAACTCTACCAGTGATGGTTGAGTGGGCCATCCTTGTACAGCAGCAATGAAGCTTCGATATTCTGGTCGCAATCCGTGGATTATAATCCTCTTCATTCGAGATTCTACAATGGCGGACTTTGGGTCTAGTTCAGTAATCTCCCGACAGATCGATTTGACCTTGTGGAAGTACTGAGCAATCGTCATATCACGTTGTGAAATTGACAACAACTCATTCTCCAGAAGTTGTAGTCTCGTATCATTCTTCTTTGAGAACAACATCACGAATGTGTCCCATGCTTCTTTCGGTGTCTTGTCATCCCAAATATGTTCTAACATCTCTTCTCCGATGGTGGTCTTCAAGGCAAACATTGCTTTGCCTGCTTTGATTCTCCATTTGCGCAAGGCGTCGTTAGAATCCTCCTCTGGCGGCGTAGTTTCACACCCGCCAACGATCTCCCAAAGATCCTGTCCTTGTAAATAGGACATCATGCATGTTGCCCACGTGTTGTAGTTGTTGTTGTTGAGTTTCTTAATTCCTCCAACGATTTGGAAATCACTCATCGTGTTGGCCATACCTCAGTAATACCAAACAAGTTCTTTTGACACAAGACTTGCAGAGTCACAGACTTCTCACGACACAAAAGAAACTCACTCACCACTAATCTCAAGAAATCGTTTCTGATGTGGAAGATCAGGCAGAGCTGCAACCACAGAGCATACTAAGGATTCCAAGAGATCAGATAACCTACACTAACCTCGCTCTGATACCAAATGTTGAACACAACTCACTGTGGGAAACACTCGCTCTCTTTATTAAGACCAATCGAGAAGAGAATACAAGACACTCTGTAGAATACTTCTGCTTTTTATTGTTTTTAGATTTCTTAGATGAATAACCTAGGTAGGGTGGGGGTATTTATACTAAGAGTAAACAATCTATATTTAACCAATCTAAATCTAGACCTAACCGATTTGAATCTAGACCTAACAAATTGAATCTTTCTCCTAAAATATCTACATCTCTTTCTCCTAAAATCTCTACTAAAATAAATATACTGGGCTCGTACAATTAGGCTTGACTCTATTGGGCTAGTACAATTATTGGGCTTGACTCTATTGGGCTAGTGATGATATTTCAACACTGCCTCCCAAGTTCCTCCTCCTCCGCTCCCAACCACCTCTTTTTCCTGCTGCACCGGCTCTTCCGATAGCCCTGTAATGTTATTATAACCACGCCTCGTCATGCCTTATTCTCTACCTACTATGACAACCCTCACTGCTTCCATGTATAAAACACCAATATTTGGCTATTTACACAAATAAATGTATGAGCAGGAAAAAGTAAGGGAAAGAAAAATAGAGTTATCTGACCTTCCTGGGAAAGGGCATCCAGGACCACGTTGTTATGGGTGTCATTGGAGAAGAGGTGCCGGCGCCTGGAGGAATCCATCTCGTCATCTACACGTCTGCGCTCGGCTCTTACAGCAGCCTTAATTCCGTATCTCTCACCTACCAGAAGTTCCCACCGGAAAATATGAGAGAGGCTGTTTATCATATCCTCCAACTCTTCGTCTTTCATGTCCAGGAGGGTGCTGACGGTGAATCCCAGCTCCGCAATTTTAGCGGCGGTGTAGTACCTGATCCCGTAAGCCTGGAACAACTCCTCCAGGCCTCCCAGTTCCAATTCCCTGGGCCGCAGCGAGTAGGGCGGCAGTGGTGCTGGGAGGGATGCGCCGCCGCCTCCCCCCACCATTCCTCGAGGATCCCATTTGAACAAAGTGGCGGAGAGGGCTTCTGGATCCATTAGCGGAATTGGATATGTATGTGTTTGTGTTTGTGTGTATGTGTATGTGATTGTGGTTGGAACACAACTACAAACAATGCAACCTGTTTGTGCACTTTTTGCACACTTCTTCTGCTTGGTCCAAGGGTCTCAAATCTCAACTCCACAGAACTCAGGCGGCAAGAGGCCACAGAGAGAAAGAAAACAATAGGAGGGGTATGGGAGGGAAGGAAGCTGCTGGTGCACCCTATAAAGGCAACCCTTTACAAAATGACCGAAAATGCCCTCCCCTCACGTCCCACAACTAACCACACCCACAGAAACTCAGCAACTCCTGCAACGGCGTTTGCGTAACTAACTAGGTGGCTCTGGCACAGTGGATGTAAATATAAAATATGGGCAGGGCAGGGCTGGGCAGGGGTGCCTGCTTTGCTTTGCTGTGCAGTGCAGTGCAGGGAGGTGGTTGTTTTGTTTGTATTATCTAGTAAGCCTAACCCTATCTGTAGCTGTTTAGTTAATGCATGTTTGGAATCCAGTTGTGACCACCAGTTCTTATTTAATCGCTAATTCTACCTTTTAACTCTTAATTCGGCATGCCTTCAGCCGACAGCCGGTGCCATCTCCATCTCCATCTACTTAGTGCTGAGAAGGGAAGGGCCATCTTGGTAATTTGAATCAATGGAGTTGGAATTTTAAGCCAAAAAAAAAGAAAAGAAAGACTTTTGAGAAAGTAGAGAGCAGAGAGAGCAGAGGAGAGGAGAGGAGAGGGTTCAGCGAAGTCAGTATTTTTGCCTTTAGCCAAGCAGCTGCACTTGCTCCAGTCCGACCTCACTGAAAAGGCTGATCCGTTTGTACTTTGTCACAGACTAATTTAATTCCCTCACCCTCAAACACTCCCTACCCACAACCTCAATAGCTGGTCCCTTTCCAATTCTTTTCACTAACCTAACAATTCACCACAAGACCTCATGCCACTCACATGGTCAACAAACAATTCACCACAATGGTCAACAAACTTAGCCCCTCCCACAAACTCCACCACCACCCTAAGTTTAACAGCCTCTGAACAGGCTGGATCATCGGACATTCATTTCAGACTAGATCTTGACCACCAAAAACAACGTCTCACTTCAACTCCCGCGCAAACACATGCTCTTCAATTTCTGCTTTCCCTTTGATTATGTTTGATCTATCGTATGGTTTACTTATATGAAGGCTTTAGGCTTCAAAGTTTTGGTTTGAAAACCCATATATATATTTCTTATGTTATGAACAAGATATGTAGTATGTCCATATTTGTATGCGATTTAGATTGAAGAAATAAAAACAAGTTAGTTGGGATTGTTTAAAACAAAATCGACCCAAGCTCATACATTTTCCAATTGGTATGCCAGGATTTCTTGTTTAAATCCCAACTCGAATTTCCCATATCTTTTTATTATTTTTCCTACATATTCCCCCTTTTTTTCTTTTAATTTTATTTATTTATTTATTTATTTATTTTTATTTTTTGCAGAAAAGAAAAGTAATAAAAAATTAAAATTCATATTTTTCCCAATGCAAGCCGTCTCTTCCTAAGCGAATACACCCTTCTACTAAAATTGTTAATTTAGTCTCCATTTATCCATGTTCCCTTCTAGACTATACTGTGTCTCTCTGCAAAAATGCATAGTCTGGTCTGGGCCATCTTCGTTCCTCTCTTAGCTGCATTCTTGACCACAACTGATGCAGTCGTGCGGGGAAGGAGTCAACATACAGAACGAATTTCGGGTAGGATTTTGTGGCTTTGCTCCTTTACTAAATTTGTACATGGGTTTGTTAGATTCTGTTTCTTTTCTTTATTTCTTTTGTTTTTCTATCTGATCTTCGGTTCTGATTCTTTCTCTTGTGGTTTATTCTTGTGTTTTTGCGGTATTAAGCCTTGATTCGTTAATCTGCTATTACACGATCAGCCAATTTCTCCGCGATATGATTGACACCTATTTCCCTTGTTTTATCACCGATTTATATGTTTCTGGGTATTTTGACTTGTTCTTGTCCTTGTCTGGTTAGATATTCAGAGATCCTTGTTTAAAAGGATAGATTTGCACAGTTATGCATAAGTTCTTGATCTTGATTAAATCTTCGTTGCGGAGTTAAGAGTGGTAAGGATGGGAACAGCTCCATATATTTGAGCAGACAATCATGAAAATGCGAGAATTTCACCTGATGGCCTGCTAACTTCGACGCAAAATGTCCTTGATATCCAAGCCTCTATCTCTTCGTAATTTGCTGCTAATTTTGTGAAGGCATACGCCTTATTCACTGGTCCGTTCTATAAGTATGATGGCGACATGCTTAACATTCTTACTGACGATTGAATTATTTGAATGGTGTTCCGATCTGAAAGTGGGAAAAATATGCTTTATGTGGAGTTAATGTGGATGATTCTAAGTTTCTCCTAGTGGCCTCTCTGTTGAATTGCAAAGTGGAAACCTTGCCCTTTTTTTATTTTGGTCTTCCCCTTCGTGGTCACGATAAGAATTCTTTTTGGTAGCCTGTGATTGAAAAGATCCAAAACATACTTGATCGTTGGACGAGATTCAATTTATCAAGTGGAGGGAGATTGACTCTTGGTAACTAGGTGCTATCATGTATTCCTCTTTCTCATATGTCAATCTTTTTAATGCCTCCTTAGTCTAAAGTCTTTTGGGGAGGAAACTATGGGGTTAAGATTAATCACCTTGTAAGATGGAATTTAGCCATTAAAGCTCAATTAAAAGGAAGTCTCCGCATTGGAGGGTTGAAATATAAACATTTGCCCCTAATTGCTAAATGGGGTTGGAGATTCATTCATGAACCAGATTATTTTTGTCCAGTCCACGTTGATGGCCCACTTCTGGAAGGTTTTTGTTGAGTCTTCATAGCCCCTGGATTAATATCTTAAAGATCTGGAAGCAGGTGGATTCTTTGGTTACTTTCAAATTGGGGAATGGCAGAAGATTTTATTTTATTTTATATTTTTTGGCAAAATCCTTGGCTCATGGCTGTTTCTGATTTCATCTTCCCCCAATGGTTCTATTTTTGACCGTTGGGATGTACTCACTCACTCGGGGTATTTTGTTTCTTCTGTCGGATGTACTCACTCATTGGATTTTGCAAATGCTTTTGGGTTGTGTCTCACCAGTATGAATTGACCATTCTCTTGTTTATCGGCATTGGTTGATTGAGCCTTTGTCTTCCTCTTCCTTTATGTATAACGATGTATATATATCAGCTCCATGGAAATCCCAAAGCCCTAAGAGAGTAAATATCCTTGTTTGGAATATGATCAATAGCTCGTTGAATTGTTATGAGGTCCCGAAAGAAGCTCCCCTAGCACTATATTTCTCTACCAGTTTGTTCTCTATGTCTTTCAGATGTGGATTCTCTTCAGCATATCTTCTTTTATTGCTTTTACTCCAGGCAATGTTGGTTTAAGTTATTCTTGGCTCTTAACCTATAGTGGGCCTTCTCCATGTTGTTCAAGGACAACATTCTCCCTTTGCTAATTGGCCCTTCTTGGCCCTTAAATCCAGGATTTTCTTGGTCCAAGACTGTAGAAGCTCTTCTTTCTGAACTATGGTATAAAAGAAACGAAAGGACCTTCCACAACAAGTGCCTTCCTTGGCTTGATTGTTTCAACAACTCGTCTCAAGGCCTCCTCCTAGCGTTCTCTCTCTAAACATTTAAGATTTATGTTTTGGCATTTTTTTTTCCTCTTTTGTGGAGTTTGTACTTTTTGAGACCCAATCCCTTTTCATTACATCAAGGAAAAGTCTTGTTCTTGTAAAAAAGAAATGTACAATTACGAGTAGAAGAATCAACAACCGAAGGAGAAGAAGGGAAAAAGAAGGAATATCCAACATGAAGAATGTTCTGACCTGCTTCATTCCCAATATAAATTTGCTTCCCTTCAGAATAACTTGTAACTTGTCCCAATACGATTCATGAAATCGTCAGTAACATGATTGGTTGAAATCGTCAGTAACATGATTGGTCATGATTGGTCGAAATCGCCAGTAACATGATTGGTCGAAATCGCCAGTAACATGATTGGTCGACAGTAACATGATTGGTCGAAATCGCCAGTAACATGATTGGTCGAAATCGCCAGTAACATGATTGGTCGAAATCGCCAGTAACATGATTGGTGAAATAACATGATTGGTTGAAATCGTTAGTAACATGATTGGTTGAAATCGCCAGTAACATGATTGGTTGAAATCGCCAGTAACATGATTGGTTGAAATCGCCAGTAACATGATTGGTTGAAATCGCCAGTAACATGATTGGTTGTGGTTTAAAGAGTTTGATTGTCCATTAGAGGATTTATTCTTAGTACTAACATTATTTGCTTGTTCTTGAAAAGTAAGATTAATGGAAGGTATCATATCATTTGAATCCAAGGTTGTATTTTTTTCAATTTTGTTGTCTTATGTCATTGGGAGCATAAATGTGATATGATAGTAGAGGCAGAATAAATGAATGAACTGAGACCACACCCAAATAAGAGAAATTTCAAGGATATATAATTATGGTTAAGAAAGGGTTAGAAAATTGATAGTAACTAATAAGGTGTAACTTTCTTTTTGATAGCTCAATCATAGGAACTACAAATTTAAACATGTTGTGCTTGGAGCAGTCGTATGTTGGTTGATGTTCTAGAACTTTTCTTAGGAAAATGGGAGTGAGAACAAAATATGCTCAAAGGTTTTGTGTAGGTCTCTTAGGAAAGTCTTCACTCTCACAAATTGTTTGAGACAAGTAAGGTAATGTGGCAAGGTTGCAAGGGATGCACGAAAATGTAAGGTTGTGTGTTGAAGTTGGATTTCAAATCTTGGGCTTGGGGCGTTCTTGCAAAGGTTTAGGTTTGGTTTTAGCTGAGACTGCAGAAACAATGGAATCAATGGAATTACATAGATGGGATGAATACTATATGTTCTTGAATTGAAATCCTATGCCCGATTACATTCTATATATCCACTCGATTCTTAATTTTTTTGCAAATGTCTTTTAATTGACATACTTCCCTTAGTAGGATTTTGGAGTTGTCATTTTAATTGCATAATCTTGGCTGTGTTAGACGTAGACGTAGGATTAGTTGCCTCATGGAAATACCAAATTTCTCTTTCTGGTTTATACTGTTTGCAAGAGACTTTGCTCACACATCAAACCCAGCAACCAAGAAGAAAAAAAATTTATCTTGCTTCTTCCAAGTAAGAAAGACAGGTTTATCTCAAGCATAGGAATTGCATCATGTTGTCTCTGTTAGGGTAGGAACAGTTATTTACCACTTCCATCAATATACTTCTCTAGATCACAATCTTTGATCGCTGTCAATATTTGTACTTCCAAACTAGATAATTGTCATTCAGTCAATTTGATTACAGAGAAGTCTGATGTTCAGGATTCAGAACTAGTGAATTTTTTGAAGAAACCAATGCTGTTAAGCTAAAAAACTAGTAAGGAACTTAGAGAAATGATCGTAAAGAGAGTTTAATGAAGTGATCAATCAACACTTTCCTCATTAATATTGCTGGGATGAAAATTGAAAAGGATGGGATTTGGGCCTTTGTAGAGGCCTCTTTGAGAGGGAGTTACAAAGCTGGATTGGGTTGGTTACCAAAATTGACGTGGAGTAGTTGGGCTTGGATGAGGATAAGCTACTGCTGTTAGAGCCCCCTTAATTTCTTCTATGTGGAAATTCAAAGTTCTTAAATCCCTTTGATCGTTAGCTAACAGAAGTTCGGATACTCATGGAAAATTTCAGAGGGAATGCAAAGGGTGAGCCATTTCCCCTCGGTGTGTAGTTTTTGCCGTAGTGAAGAGGAGTGCATGGTTCACGTTTTTCATTCATTGCAGTTTCGCTGAGAAGGTTGGGACTTTGTGTGCAACGCTCTTGGGGTGTCCATTTGCCCTCTACTGCTTGAGGTTAAATAAGAACATGAAGACTCTTTGGGCTATGTGGGGGGTTGGCTGGAAAGAAGTCAGACTTTGTGAAGATAAGTCTTCTAAGGTATCTTTTTACCGTATAGTAATGTACAGTTTTTAGTCTCTAGGTGGTACCATAGCAACAACAATTTTTTTTTGTAACTTCTCCATATCTTTGATTTTCTTGATTGGAAGTTCTTATGTACTTGGTTTCTTATCAACTTCTCCATAGTTTCTTGGGAGGGGTAATCTCTTTCCTCACCCTTAGGTTGTTGCCCTTTTCTCTTTGCAACACACTCAGGTTTCTTATCAACTTACAACTCAACTAACGTTGTTACATTGAGTATAATTGAAATAATCAACACTGACAAAGATACAACCGAATATAACTGATAAGAAAACTAAACAACTCACTATTATGTCGCTAATAAGAACTGAGGAAATTTTAAATATTACTCGACTGTTGGTCTTATTAGCTGCATAGATCTCAAAACATCAATGTACATTTTCAATTATCAATTATACTGAACTATTTATTTTGAAAATTTTGAAGTGACTCTGGTTATACCAATGTAGGCAGTGCTGGTGATGTTTTGGAGGATAATCCTGTGGGAAGGTTGAAGGTGTTTGTGTATGAGCTCCCTAGCAAATACAACAAGAAAATTCTCCAGAAAGACCCTAGATGCCTTAATCATATGTTCGCAGCTGAGATCTTCATGCATCGCTTCCTTTTAACTAGTCCTGTTCGAACCCTTAATCCTGAAGAAGCTGACTGGTTTTATACTCCAGTTTATACAACTTGCGATCTGACTCCAAATGGTCTCCCTTTGCCATTTAAGTCCCCTCGAATGATGAGAAGTGCAATACAACTTATTTCTTCAAACTGGCCTTACTGGAACCGGACTGAAGGGGCTGATCACTTTTTTGTTGTACCCCATGATTTTGGAGCTTGCTTCCACTATCAAGTAAGCCATAATTGCTCACATTTACCTTTGAAGCAGCTTTCCTGCTTGTATGGGTCCTTAAGATCCAAATGTTTATCAAAATTTCCAATTTCTTTCCTCTTTTTCTTCTTTTCCACTTCCTTTGCTATGTACTGTTTCCCATTGAATTGTCTTTGGTGTTTGTTTTGTTTTGTTTGAAATTTAAGACTCTTGCAGGAAGAGAAAGCAATTGAAAGAGGAATTCTTCCTTTGCTGCAACGTGCTACCTTGGTTCAGACTTTTGGACAACGAAATCATGTTTGCTTGAAGGAGGGATCAATTACAATTCCTCCTTACGCTCCTCCTCAGAAAATGCACTCCCACCTCATTCCTGAAAAAACTCCTAGGTCCATCTTTGTTTACTTCCGTGGACTATTCTATGATGTGGGAAATGATCCAGAAGGTGGTTATTACGCAAGGTATTTCTAGGAAGCTTACTTTCAAAATGCATGTACGAAAATTTTCTCAAATAGTATCACTTTCACTTGGATGAAATAGAAGCAGGATCTTGGCATATTTATATTATTTTTTTACTAATCCGATTCTCAACTTTATTTGAACAGAGGTGCAAGAGCAGCAGTATGGGAGAACTTCAAGGATAATCCTCTTTTTGATGTATCAACAGAGCATCCAACTACTTACTATGAGGACATGCAGCGAGCTGTGTTTTGTCTCTGTCCGCTTGGATGGGCTCCTTGGAGCCCTAGATTGGTTGAGGCTGTGATATTTGGTTGCATCCCTGTTATCATAGCAGATGACATTGTTCTGCCCTTTGCCGATGCAATTCCTTGGGAAGAAATTGGGATGTTTGTAGATGAGAAAGATGTTGCTAACTTGGACACAATATTAACGTCCATCCCACTTGAAATGATATTAAGAAAGCAGAGACTATTAGCAAATCCTTCCATGAAACAGGCAATGTTATTTCCCCAGCCTGCTCAACCTGGAGATGCTTTTCACCAGGTTCTGAATGGACTTGCCCGTAAGTTGCCTCATGACAGGAGTGTCTACCTAAAGTCCGGTGAGAAGATTCTAAATTGGACTGCAGGTCCTGTGGGTGACCTGAAACCCTGGTGATTCTTTTTTTGTTAAATTGTAAATTTCGTCTATATGGTTTAAAGAAAGTTAGAATTTAGTTCATTATAATTTTGTCCTATGGTTTGATAAAACTTCATAAACAGTTCTTATGGTTTGATTGCAACACTTCAGTTATGTGGATTATGATTTGATATTATCGATTGAGAGTTATTTTGGCACTTCCATTTCAATATAGTAATACATCAATCTAAGTTCCTTCTAAAGCATAGTCCCAAAACTCCATAGAGAAGAAATACATCAATCTACCTAAATTAAACCATGGACGCCTAATAAACAAGCCCACCCCTATTATTTTTGCAAATACAAGGGCTAGGGTCAATCAGTTATACACTTAGAGAAGTTCCTTCTAAAGCATAGTCCCAAAATTCCATAGAGAAGAAATACATCAATCTACCTAAATTAAACCATGGACGCCTAATAAACAAGCCCACCCCTATTATTGTTGCAAATATAAGGGCTAGGGTCAATCAGTTATACACTTGTACCTGCTTTGATGAATTTTTACCTTGTGCAAGAAAACATATTCCAAACAAGAGATCGCTGCAGAAGTATCAAGTAATCTCATAGCATTCTTTGATACCATTGCTATTAATTTAAGCAACTGGAACTCATTCTACATGATTTGAAATGAAGTTCCTAGACAACCGTATCTCTTGCTCCAACCCCACTTTTTCTCGTGGGAAATTAAAGCTAAAATTAACAGCATACCAATTGAGGAATGAGAATCGATAATGGAAGAGGTTGACAAGTCTCTTCCTATAATCAAACTCTAAGGTTGTTTATAACTTATCCGTCTCCACTTCCGCGACACAGTTTCTGGCTCCCAAAGCACAATCGATTTCACAAATTCTTGGATTGCTTGCTGCGTAATTTGATCTTCAACCCTGTTTTCATCTTCAGACTAATTCTCTCAGAAGCTTATCTCCCGTCGCTCTGCAAAAAATTTACCTGCCACTGCCACTGCCTGATCTGGAAGTAAGGCAAGCCATACACCAGTGTCAGCCCCTACCTCAGCAGAAACATTCCCAGCAAATCCTGTCATAGCAGTTTTCACCCAACCAGGACAGTAGCAGTTCACATAAATCTTATGACCCTCAGGTTGGTCAGTGAATTTTTTTGCCATTAACCTGGTGTATGCATTGACTGCAAGCTTTGACACGGAGTAGTCAGTTGACAACTGCGGCCACCCGCCAGTTTCCCAACTTCCATCTTCTACTTGATGCAAAAAAGTAGACAACATCCTATCAATTGCTTCTTCTGTGAGTGTATCCAAATTGCTTAGTAGTCCTCTAAATGCTACATTTTCCACTCTCTGTAATGAAACCACAAAATATTACGGAGGTAAAGGAGCGAAATTAGCAAGATAAAAATACTTAAACCTATAATTCAGAATGCACTAGCACCAACACCCCCACAAGTAAACACTACTCGAAATAGTATTAGAAAATAAACATCTCTAAACCCCGACCCTCCTCTCAAGGGGAAAAAGATAAAAGGAAGAAAGCACATTAGAAAATGCTAGTGGCCGCTCATCAGTCCATATAAAGGAGAATATATATAATTTGAGTGCATAATTCCATCAGCGCCTCAAGTCCCCTTTCTCTATTTTTTTTATAAACAAATTTATAAGAAGTTGAACTTCAACTTACATTCCGCCTGCCATTCAGCTTGCCCAATCTTGAGCTGACATTAACAATGCGAGCACCAGCAGACGACGGTTTCATCAAGGGGATCATTGCTTGAGTCATATTTTTGGTGCCATAATAGTTAGTTTCAATAACCATCTGAGCAAACTCTACCGAATTACTAGACCCAAGATTGAAATTGACTCCAGCATTATTTATCTGCAAACATAATTGCACGTAGATGGGGCATTTGGAAGTTATGTCATCTAAATCTACTGCAACAGTAGTTCTTAAGTTTTTAGATACTTCAATCACTATTTCCTCTGAAGTCAATATTTAGTTAGTATTCTACACGATGCTTATGAGAGTTGGACCACACTTGGCAAAATATAAGTGCTCTTCTTTCTAGCCTTTTCAGAAAACTTATGTAAAGAGAAGTTCCGAGTAAGATTAACTTGCCAGAATATCCAAACCACCATAGTTTTGTAGCAGCCAATCAGCAAACTGTTTGATGGATAAAGCATCCAAGACATCCAGTTGATGAAAGGCAACATTCAAGCCACCCTCCTGTAAGACCTTAGCTGCTTCAAGGCCAACAGAAACGTCTCTTGAAGTCAAGATGACGGTCATTCCATGCATTGCAAGTTGTCTCGAAATCTCAAATCCAATTCCTCTATTACCACCAGTAACCACAGCAATGGTTTCTGTAGACCACCATCTATAAAAAGTCGAGGAAATATAAAATGTGAGCGTCGGTTATTCTCCAGGAAAAAAAAAAAAAAAAATCCAACATGCAAATAAAGGAAACAATGGGACAGATGAAAAGTCATACAAGTACAACATCGTCAAGTAATGAAACAATTTGTAGGAAATTTATAATGTCCCAACAACAAAGCACCTTGTTTCGATTACGTGTAAGGTCAACTAAAGGTTTGACTAACGAAAGACAATGAAAGAAGAAAACCAGAAAAGATGAAGTAAGGCGGAGGTAATTTAGTCCATACGCAATACTTTGTGATCTCGAATCCGAAGAGATTGAATTTAGTGGTGTATAATATAAGGAAAGGAATGAAGGTAGTCGATTGTACTTCAGCGTCAGTAATACTTATAAGCATAAATTATGGTTCAGTTGTGAAGAAAGAAGAAAAATGGTAGATGTTAATCCAGACCTCTGGTGATCGGAGTAAGGAATGGTCCTGAGAATGGATATTTCTTGCATTCTCTTCTCCCTTCGTTCCTTGGCTCTTTCCTTCTTGCCCATCTACGCCTGCCTCTCTGACTGAAATTTCCGATTAAAAACAAAAGAAAAGAAGGAATCTACGGTTAGCCGGTTAGGGTTTTCCGGAGAGAAGATCTTTCTCCTTTTTTTTTTTTTTTCCTTAAAAGAGAATGGCAATACTAGGGTTAGAGGCCGGCGGAGGACTAAAATCGGGATGACCCCTTTATCTCTCCCTATTTGGTCTTCACTCTACAAGCAAGGCGGGTTCGAGGAATGCCATCTCTCGTGAAACAATTAGCATCCAGAAACAGGAATGCATTCTCCCTATTTGATGTCTGACGTGTCTGAGAGGTCTGAGTGCAAAATGGCCCAGAAGCGAAAGTGTATTAGTTTCGTATTTTAACCCAACCTATTTGATGTTTTAGGGTTTTAGGGTTTAGGGTTTTAGGGTTTAGGGTTTAGGGTTTAGGGTTTAGGGTTTAGGGTTTAGGGTTTAGGGTTTAGGGTTTAGGGTTTAGGGTTTAGGGTTTAGGGTTTA